CGAATCGATTCATGAATGGATTCATGAATGGATTCGCGGGCATTATCAAACGCACTCACTAGTGAACCGCACGCAGGGCCGTATGTTGTGGTGAATCCCACTCGCATCGCCATGCTAGCTGAAGTGACATTTTGATTACTTTATTACACAATGTAAGCGATGGAGATGGTGCGAAAACAATCTAAAAGGTAAGGAAAAAATACATGTAAGAAGAAAAAAGCGATGGAAAAAGGTAATTTGAACAAGTTAGCTATGAAAAAAACGTTACTTTTAAGTAACGTCTGGCGCTAGCCAGGGTCCACACCGCTTTAAAAGGGAAGTGTATCGATTTTTCCGCAGGGTTCGGTCCTGGGGCCGCTGCTCTTCAGCATATACACTAGAGACGTACCGACTGTTACCTGCCCGACTATGTCAATCCAGTTATGGCCGGCCAGGGTTCTCTCGTGCCAGTGATCTCCTGGAACGCATGCAGGTGTTCAGGATTGGAGAAGTCCATCGGCAGAAGGTCCTGGTCTTTGTCTGGAGGTGCATAAACGCCAGCGCGAGTCCATCCCTCCAGGAGCTCGTCGTACGCTGCGCGGATCGTAGGACGCGCCTGGATCTCGCCCTGGGGCTCCGTCTACCAGCTACACGAACCCTCGCCGGACGATCTCGCCCTGCCTCCCGAGGTAGTGCCCTTTGGAACGTCCTACCGGATGCAGTCAGAGTACTGTCGTCTCTCAGCAGCTTCAAAGCTGCCGTCGTACCGTATACCCTCCGATCTTCCTGATGTTATGATTAGAAACTTGCCCTGAGACAGCTTCCTGTCTGTGACTGATTTTCACTGTTTACCATTATTATTTGCCATGGCGACCCTCGTAAGTCCATAACTGGCAGGGCACGGTTGGGCCTTTTATCCTTCCGATGTTAGTAGCAAGTACTCTCGTTAGCAGTAACTGTTAGTACTTTGTTTGTTTGTTTTTTTCATTTTATTTTATTTTATTTTATTTTCTCTATTTATTCTCTTTACCAGGCGTGGGCCATCCCCTGGACTAACAAAATGGGTGCCTTATTATAATTTTTTTGTTTCTGTTTTAATGACAGTCCACTGCACGCCTGAAAAAAGTACTTAGTTTATTAGGCGGGTTACAGAACTATCGACTTATCGTTCGCTGGCTTACTTGTAGTTTGATACTGCTTCGCTCTTCATTGAGATATCTACCATTCTCTCTTTTTTCTCCTTATTTTCTCCCCAACCCTCCTTCCCTGTAACATAATAACATATTCGCTGCCTTGTCATTGAGCATTGTGCTCGTTTGGATTTGAGAATTCAAATAAAGTATACAAACAAACAAACAAACAATTTGGTACTTGTTCGGTGCTTGTTAGTTTCTGTCTGGCGTCGGCATGCCTGGCGCTATCCCATACATGTCCCATACCCTACCATCACAGACAGCTGGCCATCTTATTTCAATAGGGATTTCAATGGCAAGATCGTGACGTGACGCAACTTGGAAGAATGTGTATGTATGCGATGTGTATCGGAGATATGCATACAGGGCTATAGTGCGGGTTCAAATCCCATGTTATGTCTGGAAAAAAAGGATAAATGAAAAAAGCTTTTTGCTTAGGACAACATGCATGTTATTCGAACTGATGCAAACGTCGTTACACTGATATTATGTTCATCGACTACAACCTAGTGCTATCCAGATCCACACCGTTTCATTCCCATAGCTATGCAAAAATACCTTAGTTGCGTCTGGCGCTAGCCAGGGTCCACAAGGCTTTAATTCGATAGGGCTGTTGAAAAACCACAAGTTCTCAAGAGTGAAAGGCCTTCTCGCTTGTGACACTGTGTTCGTTTCAATGCAGTTGTATCCCGACTCCGCCGTACCGCTGATGTTTACGACGTGGTACACAAGAGGGCTCACAACATTTGCAAATGTTGTGAACCCTTCTGATTCTCTAAAAGTCAGGAACGAACGACCACATGGCACGAGGACAACTATTCACTCTTGACAGTATATTTCACTTCAATCGACTAATGATAATGAATAACTAACACTAAAACCACCAGGTAGTTATAGCGTGAAAATGACAGCGTATATGAGAAAAGCATACACATACAACATAGAACTACAGCGCACACAACAAACCGCACATAGCGCCTGTAGCGTATGCCACGTCGTAAACATCAGCGGTACGGCGGAGTCGGGATGCAACTGCATTGAAACGAACACAATGTCACAAGCGAGAAGGCCTTTCTCTCTTGAGAACTTGTGGTTTCACAACAAGGGCCTTTCACGTGATGCACCATGGTTTTGATAAGTATACCGTATGTAACCCATACCGTAGTATGAGTATTTAGCGCGTCCCGTAGCATAGATCTACTTGGTGCGACTTATTAAAATGTGCGCTTCACTTCACAACTCAAGCATTTGTACATACCAGAACTAAAAAAATCAACCAAGAGACGGTAGGTATATAACTACTGCATCATCTCTTGGGCTTACCTTCTAGTTTTCATCGCTGATGGTGTCTCTGGGCGCATTTGCAACTGGGTCACCGTGAAAAACGCCGACAGTTTTTTTGTCCCCCAAGCCACCCTGCGCTTTCTTGATTTTTCAATCGGTAGGCCCGGTTTTGACGATCGTCTTCGCCTCTTCCTCGTGCAGTGAAACTGCCAGATTGGTAGCTGTAGGGGATTTCAATGGTAGCTGTAGGGGATTTCAATGGTAGCTGTAGGGGATTTCACCCAAAGTTCCCACGATACCTTCAAATGAGGCGAACAGGTGAACCACCACGATCCAGTGACGGTCAGTGTCAAACAGCCAGATCGTGAGCGCTTATCCCTGTTGTACGAATCCATGGGCCACTACTGGCATTAGTGCACTGTCACTGGCGACGAGACGGAGCTTTCGCATAGGCTTGATGTAACGATGATGCCTTGCGGCTCCGAGAACTCCGCACCACCCACGCACCGTATGCGCAGAAAATTCAATCTTTGTTCGTTTCAGTTCTCCAACCAGTTTTTCGCATGAGAGGCGACTCCAGGGTTGGTTTTTATTTCGATCAGCTTCACGGCAATCTCTTCCGTGATCTTGATTAGTCCAGCACCACATCGCATACAACTGCGAGAGACATCAGTAAACTGGACTACGCGATGCTTGTGCTGCTGCACGAGTTTCTGGGTGATGCGTTTGTTGAAATTCTGCCCAGGAATCAGCAACTGAAGCGATTTCAACACGCCAAGAGGGAACCGAGAACGACCGCCCGGGAGTTTCTCGTATTCCGTAACAATTCTTCATCCCATTGGGGTCTTGATATAATGCACTAGGCCTTCTCAGTGTTGCGCGTGAAGCAACACGAGTCCTGTGATGACAAAATTCAATTCTGAGAACGCGAAATGCTTGAGTCGCCTAGAAGTTTGTGGCACTGCCCCCTTTAGAGTTCGAGTCATTCCTTCCTCAATAAGGACGTTTAGCAACACGAAAGTTTGAAAGAAAATTGGAGTCCCGAAATGAGTACAGAAAAAAGCTCGAGACTTCGAAAACTTGGACTCGAAGTTGCAGTGATTTGCGAAAGTAACTTTCTCTTCTCTCGGTATGAATTTGACTACAGTGAGTAGTAATTTTACAGCCCCCTGCTTGAGACTGAGCTGCATACGGTACGGTACTATAAGATTCAAATAACTTAGAGAAAAAGTCATTTCGCATTGCTTAACCTCACAAGTTTTCTTTTCGAAATGGATTTTCGAGAAATATCACCACCACCAATGGTTCGAATTTTCGCATCGCTAAACGTCCTTAATATCACACATTGACAAATGAAAGACACTGTTATGTAGCTGAGAAGTTTATTCCATCCTGAGATTATTTAAATTTGTTTGGTAGGCTTTGGAAACGAAGTGCACATATTAATAAGTCGGACCAAGTAGACAGAGCATCTGGAGCACCTTGGAGTAAGAAAATCCCCCAGCTTTGGCTGCTAGATGTTTGCCCGGTGAGTGCCAATATCCTACCTTCGGCCGAGTAGTGATGGAGCAGAGTAAAAGAAAAGGAAGAAGAATATTAGTATTATTGGCTCAATACCCGAGTTTCAAGAAGAAAATTGCTCTATTTAGTTGCTATTCACTCTTTAGATGATGGGTATGACTGGCCCGAAACGTGAATAATTTTTCGACATCATTTAATAAAAGAATTTTCATCGAAAGAGTGAATAGCAACTAAATAAAGCGGTTGTCAGTTGACAAACCCCCTTTTATTTACAATGCAGTTTGCGTGATGTCCACCACTTTTTTATTGAATTGTGCGTCGAATAATAATTAGCGGAATGGTTTAGATTGCAGTATTGTAATGGTTGCGGTTTCATTTGTAAAGACCTTAGACGGCGACGTTACAGTGTTGAACTTCTGCGCAATTTTAATACAAAACAGATCGTGTACAAAATCATACGAAAATACATTCCGTCCGAAAAATGTCCAGCTATAACGAGAGAGCTTGGAAGCTCAGGGCCCTACGCTATGCTTTTTTGCCTTGATAACCTAGGCAAAAACAAATATTGGGATGTTAATTTTTTTTCATTTCTCCCATTTTTTTAGACATAACCTGGGATTCGAATCCGCACTATCGCCCTGCATGCATGACCCGATACACTTCGCATACATACTAATTCTTCCAAGTTGCTTCACGTTATGATCTTGCATTTGAAAGCCCTCCTAGTATTTGAATATTGTGGCCAGCTGTTAGTGGCCAGCCGTCTTTGATGGTACAGTACGGTACGGGAAAGATACGGTCGAGGGTAATACGACACTGTCTACCACCTTGATGACCTAGGCAAAAAAAGCATAGGGATGTTTTCAATTCTCCAATCCATAACCTGGGATTCGAACCCGCGCTATCGCCCTACATGCATTCCCCAATACACTTCGCATTCATATTCATTCTTCCAAGTTGCTTCACGTTATGATCTTGCATTTGAAAGCCCTATTTGAATATTATGGCCAGCTGTTTGGGGTCAGCTGTGTTTGATTGTACGGTACGGTACGGGACAGATACGGGATAGCGCCGGGCGTGACACAAACACACAAACAAACAAACAAATACCAAATTAAAGCTGTGTGGACCCTGGCTAGCGCCAGACGTTACTGAAGTAACGTCTTCTGCATAGCTACGGGAATAATGTTCGGTGTGCGGTGACTGCGGTTTGTAGGGATAGGGCCGTCATCACATGACGCACCATGACGCACCATGACGAACCAAGGCTAGCCCTAACCCATACATATCCCATACCGTGGCGGCAAAGACTGCTGGCCACGTGTTGAAATAGTTTTTTCACCTGCAGGATCACAAAGTGAAAGAACTTTGTATAATGTGTACGTATTCTAAGTTGTCGAGGGAATGTCTAATGTATACTTACATAGAAATGAATTTTGATAACTTTCCAAATACATTGGCAGGTAGGCCGGCACTTGTAAGCTTATTATCGTTCAAGTTACTGTATAAACAGAGGAACAAAGTGGATGGGTATTATTTTAGGTCCAAGAACACGGGTCAGTTGTATTTGGCGCATGACAGTAAACCAGAAATTATTACCGGAAGCAACATTTCGAAGCACAGTGCGTATCGGTTATAACGTGGTCGTGTAAAAGAATATACTGCCTGCAAGAATGAGCTTTCATGTTTTCATAATCATAACATGGGTTTCAAGTGCATATTTACTCTTACAAGCAATCTTATCGTACAGTAGAATATATCGGTCCTAAGAATGGACTTTGTGTAGCGAAACATACCAGATCAGTACAAAGTATATCGCCTGTGCCTGTGGTGATAACATCCGTCCAATGCAGTTCCGATCTGACTCGCGTTGGGTCGTACTGCTGCAGGTTCAACTGTTGTGGTAACTCATGTTGCATAGCGCATGTTAAGCCTATGGGACTATGACCAACCGCATACCCTGTAGCACTACATTGCATGTACGATGATCTTCCTGCCTCTCGCACATGCACATGATATGTGACACTTGATTTATCCTGTGTAACAAATATCAGTCATAAGGCACGGTCCGTGACAGGGTGACTTTTGGACCTAGTTTTTCATGAACACCAAAAATGTAGCTTCGAAAGGTGTGCCATTTCGAAAATAGCTCCAGTAAATGATAAAACAGTTCCTCTGTCACGCTCCTGAACTATCCCTAAATACCATCAGGTGCCATCAGGCCTTATCTTGCTAAAATTCAACTCAAGTCGTGTTAGCGATTCTGCGAGCTATCATGGGAAGCGCAGTGTTCGAAAAGCTAAAAATTTCGAAGTACAAATCGGGAGTAGTCGGGGCACGACGCCGTCTCCTGTTCACACTCAAAATACAACTGTTTTGTACGCTTGCGTCCTCATCTACGCCCGTCTACGGTTTGAAAAGTTGGATTGATCCAACTCTTCCCGTCGCTTCCCGATCCGAACGGCAGTATGGTTGCGTTCCCGTTCCTGCTGCTCACATTGGACGCCGTCAGACTGTCCCGTCACTTCCCGACGATCCTTACGTCGGGTCCCTTCACGCCCCGTCGAATGTGAACTAGGCTTCACCAACAGACGACAATGTGTGCAAGTGGAGAGCAGCAAATCAGCCTAGCTGAACATTCCAGCGGGGGTCCTCCAAGGCTCTGTCTTGGGGCCGCTTTTGTTCACGGCCTATACAGTCGATCTGCCAAATGCCTGCATAAATGCCAACGCTGAGTGCAGCCAGTTTGCCGACGACACTGCCAGCATTGCCGTTCACAAGAAGTTTCTAGCCGCAGAAGAGCACCTCCAGTCAGCTGTGACAACCTCCGCACAGTGGCTGAAGGATTGGCATCTCCTGGTCAACGAAAGTAAGACCACTGTCATCCACTTTCACCACACCAACCAGCCACCTCCCAGACCACCATCAATCACACTCAACGATACCAACCTCACTGTGCAGGGGCGTAGGAAGCAGATTTCCAATGGTCCGGCGGATTTGTTGCTCAGACAGGTCGACATTCTTTTAATTTTTAACTCTTCCCAGTATGAAAACTACTTTGAAGTACAGTATTCACTTCGCCTTGTGAGTCAGGCATGGGGAAGTTGACATACAGGGATTGTGAACCCTCCTTTTGGCACCGGGAATACAGCTCGCTCGACTGATCTCTACTGAGTAAAGAGGGCGATTTTACTTGTAAAAGGATTGATATGAACAAATACGGTGGTATCATGGAAGACTTGAGGTTATACTAGTACTCCTGAAGTGCATGCAGAAGCAAGTATTTGAATTGACAAAACTCCACTTAAAACTGTCCGATATGGGAGAGCTGATGCTCACTTCCACGTACAAATTGCCATGCGGTACTCTTCAGGCACTAGCTGTCCAGCAGTTTTTTGTGGACGTTCAGGAACATCAAGTGATCGAGCCTTTCCTAGCGGGTTGTAGAACTTGACCCTCCCCATGGTTGAAAACGAGCTGGCTGCTTTTTCTCTTCTTTTTCTTTTGCGAAACATTGGTCTTGCAGTCGCCGGACCTGCCGGACCTTTTTCTACGCCCCTGCTGTGGCCTCAAGGCATCGCCCTCTTGGCCCCCTCATACAGCAGAATCTATGCTGGAATTCGCATGTTGACTACATCATCACTAAAGCGTCCAGGAAGATGTTCCTTCTACTGCGACTACGCAATTCCTTAAACATTTCTGCTCTCTCCTCCATCTATCTAACTTACATCCGCCTTATTCTTGAGTATGCTTGCACTGTCCTCTCACCCTTCCCCACAACCCTGAACGACCGGCTTGAGTGCATCCAACGGCGCGCCGCTCGCCTCTGTTTGCAACTCCCCTCTTTGAACCCAGAACCCACTCTGTGCTGCTGCAACGGCTTAAATGGCCATCACTCAGCAGCCGCCGGTCCCTCTTCCATATTCTTCTTGCACATAGCCTGCATCATAGATACGCACCACCACATCTTCTTTCAATTCGCCTACCCCGAATAGAACCCATTCGCTCGCTCAGGTTCCCCCGAACCTTTGAGCTACCCACAACACGCACAAACCGGCTAAGAGACTCCCCCCCCCCCCTATGCTTCTCTTGATCTCTTTAATAGCATCCCACTGTTGTGCAACGCACGCGCAACAATTATTCACCACTACTATTCTGCACATGCACACGGCACTCACAACGGCGGACTCTGACAGTAGTGTAAATAGAAGGACTGATACAGTAAAACCTGCAACTAAAGACCACCGTGCAGACTAGCGACCAGCCTGGCACTACCGACCACTTTGCCAGGCACGGAAGGTCCCACATTCAAAAATGCACTGTAACTAGCGACTACCTGCTGAATGCGACCAGTGGCCGCCTCTTCTTGTCCCAAAGACAATTTTTGACCCGTAACTAGCGACCGCGATGTAGGAAATCAAAATGTTGCTTGAAGCTCCTTCTTGAAATTTTGCTGATTTTCCATGTTGGTCCTGAAAGGAATCTTTCGATACAACAGCTGAACAAATGAACGCAGGTCATTTTGACTGTGGAGTCGGTGTGAACTGCACTACACCTGTAACAATTTCAAGCGCTGTCAAGAATATACATGATCGGATCGATGTTACTACTCGGAGGAGAAACGAAGACTGAGCGGCTCTGTAACCCCAGTCATACAGACGAATCGACGATGGCATCAAGGAGTTCAGAAACAAAGCAGCACCTCAAGGTCCTGATACTGATGGATCGCGTTCAAGGAATCAAGAAGTCACAACAATGACAGTCGGTATGACTGATCGCATGAACAAATAATTTGAAGCCCAGCGCAAAACGAAACTTCCACAAGGAACGTTCGACTCCGGGCTTCAGAAGTAGCAGCTGAATTTGATGTCTGCAAAAAATAATCTTCTCTCTGTCTCTCTGCCTCTCTCCATCTATCCGTCTATCTCTCCAAGTGTTGCTTGACCTGAAATAAGAATGGCATTGTGCAAGTCCGGGGGAATTGTATTAGCTGAATTTTGACATACATATCATTATAATGGGACCCATATATGGGCGCGCGGTGCAAACCTCTAACTAAAGACCACCTACTATAATATAAATTAAAATTAAAGACCGCTTTTGCTGGCAACAAGGGGTGGTCGGTAGTCACAGGTTTTACTGCACTTGGAAATGAATTAGTTAGGTAAGGATAGAGAAAACAACAACTCAATCTTGGGAGAGCTAATCAACAAGGAGAAATAAAACCGGAACTCCACGGAACCGGCGGGGGCGGGGCAAGGCGACGTGGAGAAGCCCGGCTGATGTGTGCGAGTACGCACGCGTCGAGGCCAATGGGGCTTCGGCCAGCAAGCTTGGGGACGCTAACTTGTGCAGCAAGCGCAGCATGCAAATAAGGCAGAAGGCAGAAGCAATGCGCATGCTCGCAATAATGACGCGTAGCTGATAGGGCATGACGTCAACACAACTGATGAAAATGTCTAGGCAAAAATGTGTTTGAAAAGCAACCGTGAGCTACGATGCAGGAAACGATCTCTGCGATCTGGCAGCCGATGAAACAATTTGAAGCTAGACAAATTGACAGTCAGCGAGGCAGAGAAAAAGGAAACATGATATAAGCAAGAGAATAACGGAACAGAGCAGGCGCGGAGAATGCAGAGTATGGATAGAAGAACAGAACGGTAAGCAAAGTCTCAAACGAAGAACACGACGTACAAATTCAAATCTATAATTCGAAGCAATAAATAGTCGTGAAGTATGGTATCAAATACTTGTGGAGAAAGAGGCTAACTATTCTACTTCACCACTCAGCCTCCGGCAAATCAACCCCAGAAGGAGATTTCAAAGCAAAAATCCTGCCACTTGTCATCTCGTCCATATGTACTTGCTCACATTGCTCAGCACATCTATAGCTCCATTGTGCCCAGCCTATGTGATAAACTCCCTATTGCCATCGCTACTACTTCAGCAAGCAGCTAAACTTTGATCTCTCTGTATTCGATCCCCGTGCCTGTAATTTTTTTCTCTTATTTCTCTTATTGGCCACAGGCCATCGTGAAAATAAAAGATTTCAAACACAAACGCGGAAATATAGCTGTGTGGACCCTGGCTAGCACAAGACGCTACTGAAGTAGCGTCTTTTGCCCAGCTACGGGAATAATTATGTTTTAGCGCACTCTGGCTCATATATGCATCCAATTAGAAAGCACCTTCGAGAAACAATCATGAAGAGATGCGGAGATTGAGATAGGATGTAACAATAGTAAAAACACGGGTACCATGGCAGTATGAAGATGGAGAGAACTGATAATGCTATAAGGTAAAGGTTGAGTCAAGGGTATCAGAGAGGGTTAGAGGGGGAGGGGGAGGGGGGGGCTGGAGAGTGGTCAGTATATTCAGCTGGTGCGCTGACCGGGATCGAGAGATCACAACTGGTCTGTGGCGGACTCCCACTTGCTACACCTCAAGTGGGCGTTGAAGGTTTGCCTATCTCTGCTAGAAGGGGCAGACAGCAGAAGAGTAGGCGGGAGGTGATTCCATTTTGCTGTGATCTTTCGGGAAGACAAACTAATTCCTCAAAACAGGAAAGCAATAAGTAAAATGGATATCAGTAAAACAAATGTTGCTGTGAAATCACGTGCCAAATCCCGTTGATCATGGCTGACGAGAAATCCGAGTTACCTTGGTAAAGTGCGCCTGTTACTTACCTTTCATGCATGCCCGTTGGTCTACAAGCAATCATACTCGTGTTGTTACAAAGCTCAAGAACATGCTGACTGGGGGGGGGGGGGGGGGGGGTGTAGGCCTGCAAACCAGAACTTTCCCTGACCATAATATTATAGCTCTTGGACCATACCGTAACAGTGAAATTATGTTCTTTATGAAGTATGCTGTGTACGTGATGTGATAAGGCGCGCATGCTTGTGGCTGGTTTTGCATGCTTGCTGTTCTGGACTAGGTCCGAGAATGTGAGCTCTCTTTTCCTTGTCTTTCTGTTCCTTGATTATTACAATAACTGTACGAACCTGAGTAATGCTGTGTGTGGGCCCTTAGGACAAGACATAACAAAGTAAGAAATCTGCCATGTAGTTCATGCGACAAGCGTATGTAGCCATCACTGTTTGCGCACCAGTCAACCCAAAACCACCGTGCGAGCAGCTCTTGTCAAGCATCAACATGAAAACAAGGGATTTTTACTGTTGGACCATTTTCGGGATTGCAGGGGGTAAGTGTAAAATATGTACAACTCTCAATGGCCTATTGCCATTGCAACACTCCTAGGGCAGTTTGTGGGGGTCCTGAACAGACCACGCAGGACCTCAGCCATCATAGTCTGGTGGATGGCCTGATCTAGTCACCTCCCACCGCTTTAGGAGCTGCATCTGCGCCTTGATTCACATTCCAGCAGCCTCCAGCCGAGTCTCACGTGACCGTGAATCTTGTTTTGTTTTTTTTAAATTACGACTATTATCTCCACGCCGCCTAACAAAGTTTTGATGTTCGCCAAAAAAGTGCGGCATGGTGATTTTTGTAACCCCAGACACAAGTATTACATTAATCTGAGGGGTCGGTCAAAACGGTACTTACAGATTGAAAAGGCCAACAAGGGAGTCAAATACATGGGGAACCAGGCTTTCAAGTAGATTGTTATCCAAACTCCTGCAGAAACATATAAGTTTCCGTGCATGGCACGGTAAGTGGAGTTAGCAACACACCAACATCCTTGCCATAAAACAACAGTTGTACATGCATAACATGCATGCACTCCGAATTCCCGCGCTTCCGCACGGGACTGTGCGGAGCATGCGCATTACTCCAGCTCTCCATGCTGTTGTTTCTTGCTCTTTGCTTTGCTGCGCTGAACGTCAAATTGTTTGACAATGGTGGCTAGTTTCTGATCAATATCCGATTAACCAAGTCTCTGTCAGTGAGCCATGTCAAGCCAAAATGCGCTCTGCTGAGCTGCGAAACGAACAGGCATCCCGTAATTTAGACACAACGGGAACAAAACCTACTCTGCTGACTCGCCTGCTCGAGTCATTGGCTCCAGACTACTGTACAAGGGACTTGGCCGCTCCGGCAGCGGAGCAGAACCTAGCCGAGGCAACTGCAGCTGCATCCCTGGGAGACTTAAGTCGGGAGGAGGTTCGCGCTGCCCTTGGAACTCGGGCTGCAGCTCCAGTCGTGCTGACAACCCACATACCTACATATTTCCCCAGCATCCATGACCGGTAAGTGTATGTGAGTGAGTGAGTACACTACTCTCAAGACACTTGGCAATAACAGGCACATTCACAATCTCACCGAGGGGTAGCTTGATGCTACGTTTCAGTACGCCATCTTCCACGACGAGTTGGCTCCTGATCTTCTTGAAGGCGGCAGGACACATAAGCTGACCGTCAGCTACACACAGGTTGGCTTCCGCAATAGTGCTGTCAGCTGATTGTTGGTGAGTAATATCGGCTAAACTGATAACACTGTCTCAGAGGGGAACAGCAGCAGACACAACATCATTGGTTTTAGCAAGGGACTAGAAAACGGTAAGAAATGTCGCTGGAACACGCGACAAAACATCAGCCTTATTCTGCTTCGATGGAATCCACTGGACAGACAGTGACATAGTTGGCAGGAAATCAAGAACGATCTCCAAGCGACTTTGAACAAGCGCTGCATACAAGCCGCCCGTCTTGACTCGATGTGTATTTCCTATCACAGCTGTCAGCCACCCATACACTGATTTGGAATCTGTAACAATGTTCACTTTCTGTGCTTTCCACCGTTGGGCAAGATTCAGACCCTTCACAACGGCTTCTAATTCAGCTATATTGATGTGCTTTTTCTCACCTGGTTGTCGCAGCCAACATGCATCTTCAACAGCAGTGCCATTTACCTCGAGAACGACACCAAGAGCTACATCAGAAGCATCACAATACAGAGTCCATTCCGAGTCAGGCGATGTTGGAACATTCCAACGACCAGTGGTGGGGTCTTGGGCAGCAAGGCGATCTGTAAGCTCAGCACAACACAACAGCAGAAGGCACGTCAGAGTCCCACCCAGCACCATTAGAGGAAGCCAAACGCTTCAAGAACGAACATGCCGGATGAAGCCAAGATAGGACTGGGTAGTGGCTTGTGAGACGACCACACCAAGAAAATATCTCTCGCCTAGTCAGCTTCTCAGGACACTGCAGGCTAGACTGGTTGCGCCGCTTCCAGTAGAGTTGGCCGTCGTCACCTCGGAACACCTGCAGACCAAGCACTCGAGCATACTCCATGTTCTCCGCTTCTTTGGTAGGCAGACCATAACTGAGCAGGACATCGGAGACGGCATCGGTGTCAGATGACGGAACACGAAGGTCATCAACGTAGTTGTCGACTTCTGGGTAGTCACGGGTCGTCTACTTCACTACGATATCCATGAACTTTGGCGCGACAGCTAACCAAAGCCCATCCTGGTCATCACGTACTTCTTCTCCTTCCAGAGGACTACTTGATATCGCAACAGCTCCGGTGCTACTTTCACTTGCAAGTACGCTTTGCGGATGTCTAGCAGCAAGTACTCAGCATCGCTTGCTCTCCACTTCTGCAATGTGTCCTGACATACTGGTGCATCATTTCCAGGATGCGATACTATCAACTTGTTGAGCTGTCGGTAATCAAGCACTGGTCGAATAGGAGAAGATTCCGTATGCTCTTGTTCCACAGCCATAATCGGCAGTACAGCTGCAGGCGCTTAATGAATCTCACTGCTATGTTCCACAAGCCAGCCGTTTGCTATACAGGACTCCACTTCATCGTTAAACTTCACCTCCTGCTCAGGTGTCAAATTACTACGGTTGTACTGACCAAGCCCACTTCCAACAGGCTGTGTCGGCGGCTGACCATTCTTCCAGTTCCACCTCAGTTCCCATGACGAGCCGTTCCAAGCCACTGTACCGTCATCAGCGCCAAATGTCACACCGTCGGCCGTGTACTCAGTGGTGACGTGTTTTGATCGATGGACACTAGTGGTAGCAGACTGACTGACCGAAGCGACGGTAGCGGGTGCAGCAGTTGGCGTCGCACCAAACTCGACGGCGGATAGGGTACTGTCATCGTACCACAGCTGAAGACCACCCGACGCTGCCACGAGATCGGAGCCTAACAACACATCAGCAGCAACAACGTCCAGGTCAGGCACAACAACAGCTGTAACATCAATTGTAGGGAGACTAACAGGACCATCATCTCGCTTCAGATCCAGACAAATCTCACCAAGCACGTGAATCGGGGTGCCATCTAATGCAACAAGGTCACACTGAGCATTCCTATTGATCTGTGCAGCTGCATCACATGAATGAACTGCAGATAATGTTACTAAGGTACGTGTTGAACCGGTGTCAATAGCCCCTTTCACCCGTTGCCATCTTTCATCAGCGCAGATGTCGACGAAGACAAATGGCATTGCACTAGGACTAGAATCAACCGTGGTAGTGTATGGACACTTGTGCGTGGAGCTCGACTCCGAATTCACCGCAGCAACCTTTCCCTTTGCGCTTCGGCTTCTTTGAAATTCTCGCTACTTTCTTTGATTTAGTCAACAGTCGTGCCACGCGGGGTCAGGCTTCACGTCTGCTTCGTGTCCCGTTTTTGCCGGGTCCTTCCGGTCGATCCACTGTTCAGTTCATTGGTAGTGTGTACTGGAACTGCCTGCCGCCTGATGTCCGCTCCATCACAATTCCTTCTGCATTTAAGAAAGCAATTACAAACGATATCTTAAACTCTCTTACCCTCTCCTAAGATCTCAAAGACGCATAACTGTCAACATTCCCTCAACCCTGGAACCTTTCCATCCGTTGCATTATTTTCATGAAAAATTCATCAAATTCCAATTCGTTACTTGTAGTACTCCCTCATTGATTTGTTTCCGTCTTCTCTTTGTGCCTTGTTCATGATTGTATTTTCCTCTTCCTCCTTTTCTTATATCACCACCTTCATCATTTTGCGAGAACTGTGGCAATACGCCCAGTGAGAAGGCAGATTTTGCCTGTGCTTCTGGTGAAGTAAAATAAAGTCGCTGAGATGACTTCCGACATCTTGAACCGAGCTATTGAGACACATGACCCACTCGAAGTTGGCAGAGGAACCCTAATACTGCTGCAGAAGCCCGGTAAACCACTAGGGCCGCTTACTAGTACGCGCCCTATCGTACTGCTCTCGGCGTTGAGAAAGACGCTGTCCCTGATTGTGCTGAAGAGGATACAGCCAGCGGTTGATCAGTACCTGGCTACATCCCAAAGTGCTTTTCGTCGTGGCCGCAGCACAAGTGATGTGGTGTGGTGCCATAGATGGCTATGTAGTATGACGCAGCGATTCAATACGTCCATCCACATATTGGGAATTGACATGAGTAAAGCATTCGACACTGTCCGCCGCGATGTCCTGATGAGGATCCTTGAATCCTTCCTCCAAGAAAGTGAGCTCCGAATGATCCGTATACTGTTGACTGAAACCTGGCTTGAACCTCGTGTGAAAGGTGCATCGAAAAGCTCCTTCAAGACAAATATCGGAGTCCCTCAAGGGGACAGTCTCTCTCCAGTGCTTTTCACCATTTACCTGGAGGCTGCTCTCCGGGACCTACGACAGGAGCTGCCATCTCGCCCTGCTGTGGACAATGACCTGCCGCTGGATATCGCATACGCGGACGATGTTGATTTTGTGAGCCGGGATGAGACGTTTCTCAGTGAAGTTGAACAACAAGCTCCAGCAGTTCTTGCGAGATGGAACCTGAACGTTAATCCCTCCAAGACAGAGCATACCACCGTCGCCCGATTTCCCGATAGGAACCAAGAAACGTGGCGTACTGTCCGCAAACTAGGCTCCCTCCTGGGTGACGCCGAAGATGCTGCTCGGAGGCGTCAACTGGCCGCCGCCGCCTTCAACTCACTCCTCAAGATCTGGACCCGGAGGCGCCAGATCAGTGAAGGTCTTCGGCTGAGGCTCTACAACGCCTACATCATCCCAGTCCTTACCTACAACTGCGGCACTTGGGGCCTACCGATGTCGGAGCTCGCGCGAATGGATTCGTTCCACAGGACCCAGCTAAGGAGCATCATCGACATGCGGTACCCTAAACGAATTAGCAATGACACTCTGTATAAGCGCTGCGGAGCTGTCCCCATCAGCGACATGATCACAAGGCAGCGCTACAGTCTCGCTGGCCATATCTTTCGTTTGGCCCCAACTGCTCCTCCACAGTTGGCAGTGGATATGTATCTTCGCCTGGCCAACGACGAGGGCACTGAACGCTTCAGGGGTCGACCTCGGATGACTTTGGTAACGGTCTTACAGACGGAACTGTTATCATGGCATGGACTTACCCTCCACCAGCCGCTAGATGTTGACGCAGTCCGCACAATGGCAGCGGACCGACAGGCATGGCGTGGAGCCCGCCCCACCTAACAGGACTGACCAGACATGTTGTATGCATATTTTTATTTTATACTTTGGATGAAGTTTTCCATTAGTCATATTTGTGTTGTTGCTAACGGCTTTTGTTGACGTCACTTCTGTCATTTCATTGTATCGTATTACTCTTCAGACATCAATCCTGAATGGCATAAGCGAAAGTGGCACCCCCGCCACCTACGCGGACATGCTTTTAATAATAATAATAATAA